GATTTACTAATCGATTTATTAATCGATCTATTTATTATAATAGCGAAAATAAATTTAATAAAGCATAAAGTAATTTATTAATAAAATTAATAAAAAAGGTTAGATTATTTAAGAAAGAAAAATAAGAAAAAATCAATTGCAATTAATTATTATATATATATATAATATACGTAGCTTTAATTTAAGAGCTCCGGCAAGCACGTGCAAGTTAAATCTTTTCAAGTAACGTGACTTATAGTTAGCCCCACTTTAAACCCATGGGGTTACCCCATCCCCCGTGGGTAATTTCACTTAAAAAAATCCTCCCCATGAGGCTTTAAAAAAAAATCCCCCATCGGCCAAGGCCCCATGGGGCGAATGGGGAGGAAAACCCCGTGGGGCCCCCACCCTATGGAGCAGCCTAATTTAAACTGCTATTCGCGCGTTTTAGATTTTATATCGACTTTTTAAATTAATAGCGAACTCGTGCGCGGAGATAATAAAGATTACGAAACATTGCACGCTATTATAGCAACTGCTACTTCGTTTAAGTTATCATTAGAATAACTTAACTCGCAAAAACGAAAACATTTAAAACTTTTTACTTATTAAAAAGAGCTATAACGGCACTTATACAGCAAAGAGTTTATAGACAGAGCTTTTATAAAGTTGAATAATCTAAAAAAAAGGAATTATTAAAAAGTGATTCTCGAAAGCGAAGTTAAATTAAAACCTATACTTTTTAAGTAGATGTTTATATACAAGACTAGCTCGTTCGAGGAGATCGTAAAGTTTAAATCGAAGATTATTATTAAAAGTGACTTTTAAAACGAATCTATTATCTATTCAACTTACGCTGCTACGCTAGTAACTAAATCTTTTAAGATTATAATAGCTATAGCAGCCGAATTTGATTTAAAAGTAAAACAGTTCGACGTCGTTAACGCTTTTATCAACGCTATAAAACACACGGATAGCGTTTTAATTACGTGTTATCTCTTTAACGGTTTTAAGTAAAAAAGTATGCTCGTAAAAGTCGATAAAGCTTTATATAAACTTAAAAACTCGCTAGCTTTATAATATTTCGACTTTATAAGCACACTCGATAAATTAAAGCTTACGCTATTTAATAAAGAACAGTATATTTTCACGAATCTAAATAAAACGGTTTTCATAACGTTCTACGTAAACGATATTCAAGTTATATACTATAACTTTAATCTTTTTAAAGCTTAAGAGATTATTAAGAATCTTAATAAAGCGTATAAGATCGAAGCGATAAAAGATATCAAATAATTTCTTAATATAAAAGTCGTCCGCGACCGTTAACGAAAAACGCTAACGCTTATGCACGACGTTTATATTAAAAAAATAACTAAGAAATTCGAATTTACGAACGAACGCTGCTTAATAACTTTATTACCGTTTTATAACTTAATTAAAAATAAAAGGATAGCTTCGCGAAAGCAAATAAAAAAGTATTAAAAAAAAGTTAAATCCGTATTATATATAGCGATTATACTACGCTTAAATATAGCTTTTGCAGCTTTTTAACTTTCTTACTTTAATATTAATTTAAGCGCAAAGCACTTCCGAGCTGTAAACTAGTGTTTGCGATATCTATTTAACTGGCGCTTTAAAAGTATTTAATATAATTAATTCAGCAAGTCGGAGCTAGTAATAGCTTTTAACGCTTTTTACGCCGATAACGAAAAGACGAAGCGATCTTCTTAACGATATATTATGTTTTTATTCGAAAGTGCGATCTTTTAAAAAGCTTTAAAGCAAAATTTAATTATTATATCATTTATTAAAGCGGAGCTTTTTAATATAGCCCTTACGGTAAAAAAAATTATAACGCTTTAACGATTTTTTAAAAAGCTATACTTTCGATTTGGGGCGCTTTAAGTAGTCTATTATAATAATTAATAAACTATCAAGCTTATAGCTAATAAGAAAAAAGCGTATCTTTATCAAGCTTCGCTACGTCGATATTTATAATATATAATTGCGTTAAAAGCACTTTAAAAAGAGCTTTTAAATTCAATATTTCTTTATAAACGAAATGCACGCTAATAATTTTATTAAAAACTTAACTCGATAAAAGTTTAAAAGCTTTATCAAGCTTTTAAATTTATAAGACGCTCGCGCGTTTATTAAGAAGCTTTTATAACACGCATATACTATTCACTTATTATATTTTATTTTATTTTATTTGCACGTAATTTAAAAGAAAACATTTATTTAGCAATCTTAATCGTTATTCTATTTTATTTTACACGCTTTTACTTTTCGCTTTTTATAATAAAAGATTAACTAAAGCTTTTAGCAATTTCTTTACTTTAACTCGGCGCTTCGCGAGAGTTATAGCAACGGCGAGCGCCGCCGCGAAAGCGGCAAGCGTAACAACTAGCGCAAAAAGAGCGACGATAATAAGTGCGACGAAAGCGACGAGAGCTGCGAAAGCGACGAAAGCAATAAGAGCGGCTAGCGCAAGCGCAAGAGCTGCTATAATAGCAGATTAAAGCTTTTGCATAAAGTTCGAAAAAAAGTTCTAATTAAAAAGAGCTGCTTAAATTAAATTATTTCGAAAGTTAAAAAGCTTGACTTATAAAAAGGTGATATGCTCGAAGCGCTTTGTATCATCGGATTAAGGCTCGCTGCTATAAGACTATTCAATCTAATAAAAGCTATATTCAAATTAAAAGTCTCAAAAGCAAAAGTAAAACTTGCAAAGCTATCGAGATTATTTTTAAAACTTTTACTTTTACTCGCAAGACCGCTCGGACTATTAACAATACCTTTTAAAAAAGCAGCATTTAAAGCAAGCTATTATCGCATAGCATCTCGAAGACTTCGGCGAACTCTTTATATAACATTATTATTTTTAGCGCTTACGAAGTTTTCGAAAGCGATATTAGCAGCGGCAAAAGCAGCGGTACAATTGTTATAGCTATTTTTAATATACCGGAGATAGCGAATGACGCTCGTATCGCAATTATAACAGTCTTTATTAAACTCCGATATGATCTTATTATTAATGCACTTAATGCACTTTAAAGCTTTAACGATCGTTAGCATAAGCAAGCGCTTAATAAAAAGGTTTAAAAGAAAAAGCGAAAGTTCGAAAGTAAAAGTGCGAAGTATAGCCGCCGCCGCCGCCGCAGTTATAATAGCAGCGATAAATAAAGCAGATAAAGGATTCTCTTAATAATTAATATAAAAATATTAATCTATTAAAAACATTTACTTTTAAACGGCTTCGGCCGCGCTTAACGATTTTATTAAACTAAGTTACTTGCTTAAAAAGCATTATATAAATAGATAAAAGTTAAGTGTTTATTATAATAGAAAAGAACGCGCTCTCATTTATATAGCAACGCGACAAAGACGGCGCTAAAGACTCTCGCTACCTAATAAAACCGACTTAAGAAAGAATTGCATTCTTGACTAATATTCAATCAATAATAACAATCGCTATTTATTTGTTTTAAATTACGATAACAATCTCTTTTGTTTATATCGAGTTTAAAAAGCTTAATTATTCATTTTTTTTCTTTCTTTTCTGTTTGCTTGCAGCTTAGCAGCTACTTTGCTAACTTAAAAGGTATATTATACGGAATAAGCATAGTTCCATCTAAGCTATATATGACATGTCATGTAACCTCGCTTAATAGCGCCTTTAGCACACTAGAGCTCTTAGGTACATGTATATAGATCTTAACGAGCTTCTTAAATAAAAGATACTAAGCTTCATTTAATCTACAGAATCTCTTCCTGATCTTAGTGCTAGTAAGCACTACATATAACGATACGCTAAGTCTTTTAAACGCATTTTATATACGCTAAGCTACTTCTTTCTTTTTTTCTTTCGTATTTTTCGTATTCTTTTATTCTTCGCTTTTGACTTATGAACTATAATTTACGAGTCTTTAACGCTTTTATTTTCGTGTATATAAACCTTAGCTACTTTCGACTTTTATACTCGGTAGTTATTAATTTTAAATTATTATTTTAAGATTCTCTTAAGCTCTTATGTGAACCTTCGCGCTTTCGTAAGTTCTTTCAGGTAATCGCTTAAGGTCGTTATATACGTGATTATATAATTAATCACTATTATAACATTTAAATTATTTATTATTACTATAACCTTTGGATTACTTATCACCACCACAACTACTGGAATTTATCTTAAGTCACCGTTGGGAACAATAATTATGAAGTATAATATATGTGATTATGAAATATATTAAATAAATATAATTATTAAATATAATTAATAAATATTCGTAAAAAAAAATTATTTTTAGCTGCTTTATATATATTATTTTTAGCTATCCCACTTTAAACTCATAAGGTTTCCTTATCCCTCGTAAGGAATTTAACTTAAAAAAATCCTTTTTATAAAGTTTAAAAAAAAAAGTCCTTTATCGGCCAAGACCTTATAAAGGGAATAGGGAGGAAAACCCCATGGGGCCCCCACCCCATGGAGCAGCCTACGTGCGTTACGTACGGCAAAATTAATAATAGTAATTAAATTAAGCTTAGCTATGTTTTATATTTAATTCGAGCCGAACTGTTTCGAAAAAAGTTTAATAAATTAATATAGAATAAAAGTCTTAACACGCTTAAATCATATTAGATCGATATAGAATAGTCTTACGTAATTAAATGACTAACCACTATTATAACTACTAGAATTTATCTTGGGTCACCGTAAATGATAATAAAAAGGCATACATCTTTTAGCTAGAACAATTAACGAGCCTTTTTTTTTTTTTTTTTTTTTTTTTTGCACTTCTTTATAAGGACCATAAGGTCCAGCCTTGATGTCGGGCTTCTGCACGACACCTTTTTTTTTTTGGTGCTTCTACAATACTTTACTTACCTGGGCTACTTTCATACATATCAAAGTCTTCGCGGATAGATTAATATGCTATTGCCCAAGATATATATTAAAGTCCCGTACATAGCACAAGACATGAATACCCACTACCATTGACCACTTTCATTTCCTCTTCTCATAGCTCCACGCCTTCTCTATGAATACTAACAACAAAAGCCTTGGGACTTCCATTTACAAATCCACTCTGATCAACACCACCACCCCCCGCCGGGACATCATCATACGGAAACGCATAGCCTCTCCCATCCAGATTTGCCTCGTGCACCAGCCGCGCATAATGATTCGTGATACCCGCCTTGTAGAACTCGTCTACCTTTTCCTGGTTTGGGTGCACTTGCTCGTTTAGCAGCGTGCTTCTATTGAACCCAGCCGCTATCCTCGCCGTGAGGGGGCCCAGCGCGCCGGCGTTGTCGGCGAAGGGGCCCGAGGAGCAGGAGAAGATGTCGGCGGTAGTAGGTTTAGGGAAGGCGCCGAGGCCCGGGAAGCTAATGGCGTTGTTGGAGACGGTGCCGGCGACAAGGCCCCATTGCGCCTGGGTGTCGATTTGCAGCGGCATGGAGGCGTACTTTTCGTAGACCTGGTTGACGTAGGAGTCGTAATAATTTTGGAAGAGGTTGCCGCCGTTCATGACGATTGCGTTGTTGGGGCTCAGGACGCGGAGGGGTTTTCTTTCGCGGTTAGCCACGATCGGAAAAAAAAAAAGGTTTCCGAGATTCTTACCCGTTGGCCGTGTAGACGAGCTTATGCCAGTCGTTGCTGTCGACAAGACTCTGAGCTTGCAGTCCGTCGACGACGCTTTGGAAGCCGTCGGGTTTTAGACCCAGGACTATCTGATCAGCACCTTGCGTGGGTGTCAATGTCAGTGAGATTGACATGCTGAGAAAGTCTACATAGCTGATATTCGCGTAGATGCTATTGTTAGCAAACGTAAATTCGCAAAAGTCCCACTCGATATCGATGTTCGGGTCAGACGGATTCGAGATACTCGGCTCCACCAGCGCCGGGCCAGGATTGATCAGAAAATGGAGCTCCTTCCCGACCGAGAACCAGATGCGACCACCAGCTAGCTGAGGGATGGTGGCCGTCGTGGTACTCCCCGGAGGGCCAAGCTTGATGGAGCAGTCTTCCTGAAGGGGCTGGAGGATGGCTGATGGGGATGTGGGATAGTAGGGTGTCTTGCCGTCGGCTTTGATGAGGCAAGGTGAGTTGTTTTGTTCCAGAGCCAGACCAGTGATGTAGGCATATACTTGGCTCGACTCCGTTCGGTTTTGGAGCTGGATGTTCATAGTGTTGGGAGCCATCGCTGGTGTTTCTGCCGCTTGTGGTTCGGCTGCTTTTGTTTCTGGAATTGACTGTGGCTCGGGAGCTGGCATTGGCTTTTTGGAATTGAGAGATTTGAGGATTTTCTAGCTTTTGTGAGTTGATGTGTTGACAAGGATGGAGAAGCAAAGTACCTGAAATATAGGCATTTTGGCGGCCTTTCGTCGTGTTGGAAAAGTAGAATGAGCTGCAAAGGAGAATCAATGCCAGGCTGACGGGCACAGACAGCAATGATGACTCGAGGCTAGTTATATAGAGGGATTCTCATCGACGGGGCTTCGAAAAAAAAAAGTCCTGTGGCCTGCTGAATGTTCCACCCACAAAGACAACAGAGGGGGGTTTGTGTTTGGAGATATGCGAGGTTCCACGACGACTGTTGACGATTCGATATTGGCTAAGCGAGAAACAAATGGGATGGGAAGCAGCTGGGATAGTTGATTTTTCATACATGTATATATGTACCTGTATATCACATATATATATGCAAGGTGTTGTCAACAGCAAGAACTTTCTTGGAAGCTTGGAAGCCCGGGTAGCGTTATTGAGGGTCGATGACGAGCGTAAGTGGGGAGGCAGGATGTTGATAATTGATAATTGGTAATTGATAATTGGTGATTGATGGGTCAAAGACAGACGCAGGAATATGATGATAAGACAGGAAGTGAGATGAAGAGCCAGCGCTGGATAGGAAATATCGAGAGGTTATGGGCTCTAAAAAGGCGTTAAACGTGCTCAACCAAGGTTCTCAGCTGCCAAAAGCCCAAAAATTCTCCACGACTGCGAAAGATTCGTCGATTGAACATGCCCAGCCGTATATGTATGTATGTATGTATATATATACTCAAATAAGAATATGTAAAAGTACCTTTGCTGCCGAGAGACTCAACGCCAGCTTCCAATACCGGTACCGGTATGACATTCCGCAAGTAAAGTGTAAGTGTAAGCCGCAGTCAGATCTGCTATCAACACGTGACCTTGCTGACTCACATTGGCCTTAAGTCCGAAAACCCTCGCGTCGGAATAAGGAGAGAGTTCACGACAGTACAGGACAGTACAGGAACCCACAACGGTATCGACGCATTTGCTCGGGGCACTTCGAGGGACCAGGCCCAGCCACAGCCGCCGCCGCCGCCGCCGCCGACAACGACAGAAGAAGGAGGCAGTTGGAAAATATGAGGGAGAAGATTTCGGCAATCAATCGATCAATCCATTATCCATCCCTCCATCCTTCCATCCATCATGGTGTACGACTGGGAGAATAAAGAGGCAATGTGCTATCGCATGTACATCGAGGAGAAGAAGTCGCTGGAAGACATAATGGAGTATATGAAGGAAGAACACCAGTTCGCGCCGAGGTATGTGAGATAGAGAGAGAGTGTGGGAGTGATATTATATATGAGTGGTATATGCATATATGTTTACCTATATATATATATATATGTATATGTATATGTATATGTATGGGTGAAATTGGGGGTTTCTGTACCTCCCCGTACAGCAGATGCATTTACATCCGCGGCCGTACTCTACTCTAGTCTACCCTACCTTTCCTTACCTCTACACCTCTCCCGACGCTTTCTCAATTCTCATCTTCTTCGCTGTCCATCCTCTCCTCCCTCTACTCTCCTCCCCTCAACTCTCCACCATACCTCCATACCTTCATACCTCCATACCTCCACACAATACTTACCTACATACACATCGTCCACGTCTGCCACGCCCACTGACTGACTGACAACCACAGCAAGCGTGCCTTCCAGACCCAATTCAAGCGCTGGGACTTCCCCTCCAAGCAGAATCCCGCCCACAAGAATGAAGCCCTCGTGCAGCGCGTCAAGGAGCTGTGGGATGTCAATACCTCGCAGCGCGACATGCTCAAGACCCTCAACGACGAGGGCTTCGACATCAAGGAGCGCGAGCTGATGCGGGTGCGGGCGAAGAACCGCTGGCTGCTGCGCGTTCCCAATGGCATGAAGAGCAAGAAGAACTCGGATCAGGATGTGCTGAATCAACTCCAGGCCGCCCTCTACCCAGGCGAGCAGATGGGCGAGGTGGATGCGGACGACGAGCAGTTGGGCGACATGTCCATGCCGCAGGAACGTGAACCGCGGCCTGATTCGCCCCCCTTGAGTCCCGAGGTGATGCGCAAGAGACAGGAACGCATGGCGAAACTGCAAGCCGAGTCGGCCGAACGATGGGCCTCGAGGAGGAGACGTCGTCGCACTCGGAGCTGGGCAGGCTTGCCGGCAGACCCTCCCGGACCTCCACGATTCCCTTCCGAGACGACCATCGACGAGAGTAAAGCCTTCCTCAGCTTGGATAACCGCCTCTACCGCGACATTCGGGCTCGATTTCAGCGGATCTGCGAAGAGGCCGATATTATCAAGAAGACCCTCGCAGGTCCAGAACGCTGGGAGGCCGCGAAGGACAGACTGGTGCAGGAGAGCCCGCATCTCCAAGGCGTGCTCTGGGTCAGCGAGGAGAACCAGGAGGCAAAGAAGCTGGCCTTGGATGTTGTGTGCAGCGATGTCACCAAGCGAATGCGGACACTGGAGCGGCGGATGACCATTGCAGAAGCCAAGAACTATCTGGGAGTCAACCCGGAGGAGTCCCGCCAGCTGCGGAATGCATTCTACCAAACTCTCAAGGCGGACCACTTCACCAGCAAGCTCGAGGCGGGCGAGGAGCATTGGAAGGAATTGAAGGCGTCCTGGATCAACGGCTCTCCACTGCTACAGAATATCCTCGCCCCCGGAGATGCGGATCCTCAGCACGCACAGAAAGTCAAGGCTATGGAGGTGCTCTGCCGGGATGTCATGAAGCGTCTGCGAGATGATCAGACGAAGCGTGATCCTACGAGGAAGAAGAAGTTCGACTCGAACTTCGTTACTGCGGACCACGGCCGAGACCCAGGGATGGACGACTTTCCTCCGGAATTTCAAAGCGGACCAGACGAGAATCTCATGCGGGCAGCAGCTCTTGCCCAGGCGCAAAACCACATGCAGAACGCCTCGCAGCCGCAATCTCATTCCGGAGGCCCGATGGACCATCAATCTCAAGCCCAAGATCTCCATGCGCAGCCTCACCCACAGGTCAAATTCGACCACACCGATATGCAGATTGATCCCTCGCTCCTCCTCGCTGCCGCCAACGACCCATCGTTGATGAACAGCGGCATGCAGAGCCAGTATGCCGACCAGCAATATCTGGAGCAGCAATTCGCAGCTCCGGCCTCCTTCCAACCCGCTTCATCATCGTGTGCCGTCTACTTCCGCCTCCACCCCAACTCGGACGTCGCTTCCCAGTCTCGCCTCTGGGTCGATACGTTGACGTCCAATTCCGTCGATGAGCTGCGTCAACGGGTTGCTGTCAAGTTCCCCGGCGCGGTGGCTCTCCGCATTGAAGGGATCATCAAGTCACCCAATGGCAGTGAGATGGCCCTACCCATCGATGCGGACGACGAGCTGGAGGCGTACTTTGCTGCGATTGCGGGCGTGAAGCCGGTGTTCTCGGTTCTGGTTTCCATGTGGAAGAACAATGGACAGCTCAATGGGTTGTAGGCAGGCAGTCCTGGGCTGGGCTGGGCTGGGCTGGGCAACGTAGGCGCATGGTGTTACCGGAATTGGGGAATGGGAGGAGTTTGGAGCGACTGGATGAATGTGCTCGATTTGCGGTTGGCAAGCGGCTATCAACTTTTTGCACCCCCTTACCTGTAGAAGTAGAGATTGCTCTGGCATTGTCAGATAGTAGCAATTTAATATCCCGTTCAGGCGCTTGCCTCTCCACCCGAAGCTCGAAAGTCTTTCTCATGCTCTTAACACACTTTGTTGAACACTTTCTCCTTTCTTTCTACAGTAGAATTACAACAATGGCGCAATCAAGCTCATGGGATGTGGGGAAGCTCTGCAGAGTACCCTGGCCGGCGGTAAAGTATGAAGTACTTGTTGTGCCCAACAAATAACAGAATATCACTCAGTTACATCTCCCACTCCCACTCCCCCTCTTCTCCACCACGCTCACCATCTCCTCCTGGACACATGTAACGATATCCACGTCAATTGACCTCCGTCGTCGCCGACCCCAGCACCAACACCACCGCCAGCAACTATGGCGTTTCGAGCCGTCGCCTCATCAAGAGCTCCCCTCGTGGCGCTGCGCCGACCCGCCCAAGCTCACTGTCTCCGAGTCGCAGGCCGCAGATGGGAGTCCACAGAGAGGCCATCGCCCGAGAAGCTCGCCGAAGGGAATCTGCATCTGCATGGTCAGGGCAGGCCGTCCTTCAAAGGGCAGCTGTATGAGAGCGCTGCGGGGAGGTTGGAGCGCGAGAGGGCAGAACAGGCACGATTTCAGAAGCAGAGGAACGAAGGCGCGGGTGGGAGGAATTCGGCCTTGACATTTGGTATGTACATCTATATCCTTCTCTCTCTTGATGCATGTCCTATTTAATAGACCTCTGAGGCCTCATCGCTAATGCCCAGGCAGTGATCATCTCTACAGCAATCGGAGGCTACTACTTGGGCACCCTCAGCACGCCCGCCCCTTCCAACGCCTCAACACTCCCCCTCTCCCAGACCAAAGCCCCTAAACATGACATCTCAGGCTCGAATATGGAGGCGGCATGGGCGGATTTCACCGAAATCGTAGGCAAGGACAATGTCTCAACCCTCGAAGCAGACCTCGAGCAACACGCAGGCTCCGACTACAGCTCGCACACCCACGCAGACACCGAGCGTCCATTTTTGATCGTGTATCCGGCGAGCACGGAGGAAGTCAGCGAGATCATGAAAGTCTGCCACAGACGTCATATACCGGTTACTGGCTACTCCGGGGGCACCAGTATCGAAGGGCAATTTGCGCCGACGAGAGGAGGGATCTGTGTGGATTTCAGACGCATGGATAAGGTGCTGAAGCTACACAAAGAAGATATGGATGTTGTGGTGCAACCCGCCGTGGGATGGGAAGCCTTGAACGAGGAATTAGCTTCGAGCAACCTCTTCTTCCCTCCAGATCCAGGACCAGGCGCTATGATTGGCGGTATGGTGGGAACGGGGTGCAGCGGCACGAATGCGTACCGGTACGGAACGATGCGGGAGTGGGTGTTGAGTCTTACGGTTGTGCTTGCGGATGGTACGATTATCAAGACGCGACAGCGGCCGAGGAAAAGCAGCGCCGGGTATGATTTGACAAAGATGTTCATTGGGAGTGAAGGAACCTTGGGGCTGGTCACGGAAGCGGTACTGAAGGTGACGACGAAGCCGAACACCACTTCTGTGGCGGTTTGCAGCTTCGGAAGCGTGAGGCAGGCCGCAGATTGTGTGGCCAAGGTCGTCAGCGAAGGTGTTCCGATTGCCGCCATTGAGATTCTGGATGATGTGCAGATGAAATGCGTGAACGCCTCCAAGATGACCGACCGCACGTGGACAGAAGCCCCGACGCTGTTTTTTAAATTTGCCGGGACGCCGACTGCCGTCAAAGAGCAAATCGGGATCGTTCAGCGGCTCGCTAAGGGTACGGGGAGCAAAACATTTGAATTTGCAAAGACGGCTTCGGAGCAAACCGATCTCTGGGCTGCAAGGAAGACGGCGCTTTGGAGCGTGATGGCTATGCGAGAGAAGGCCTCGGATCGCGTGTGGACGGGCGATGTGGCCGTGCCGATCAGTAGATTACCGGATATCATTGAAGAGACGAAGGCAGATATCATGAAGAGCGGCCTCTTTGCCACGATCGTGGGACATGTCGGCGATGGGAACTTTCATAGTAAGTTTGCTGGAGCGCGGAAGAGGAGGAAGACCCCATGCTGACAGGGTGATACTTAGCAATCATGCTCTACAACGAAGCTGAACGTAAAACAGCGGAAGAAGTCGTGCATCGCATGGTGAAGCGGGCTATAGAGATGGAGGGAACGGTTACTGGCGAGCATGGCGTGGGCATGGTCAAGAGGGATTATCTGGATCATGAAGTAGGGGTGACGACGGTGGACGCGATGCGAAAGGTAAGTCCTTATTCTCGTCTCGTATGATCACAGTAAACATCAGAGGGATACTGACGGTGCTGGCAGCTGAAAATGGCATTCGACCCGTTATGTCTTTTGAACTGCGACAAGGTTGTCAGGGTCCAGAAGCCGAAGCCGGGAGAGGTTGCGGAGTGGTAGGTAGGCGGAATGTTAGCTTTTACAATGCATATACCCTCTTAGGCCTTTCCACTCGGTGTCATCATCCTCTATTCTCTTGCCGTAGAAATCAAAGCCTGGGCAGGCAAAGTTACTGAACTCGATTTGTTGTTCTAACAAGCTCTCCCCCCTCGCTTAATCAGTCTCACTCACTTCACTCGTCAGTTCCGGCATCGTCGTCGGATGAAAGCAAATCACTTCCTACACGCATGCCCGGTATCATTCTATAAAATCTTGAATCCTCCAACAATCACGTCTACTGCGGCAACTACACGTTCATACACATATAGACATATACACATATACACATATACACATATACACATATACACATATACACATATACACATATACACATATCTATAACTCCATAGCTTTCCGACGCCGCCTGGCTCTTTTTATTCACTGAGTTCGCCAATTTTGGAGCATAACAGTAGGGGGATTATGTGATTGAAAACATACTTTGGGGTATAAGAGATACACGAACTCCTGAGATATGCTGGCAGCTGCCCTAACTCAACCGAGGGACGAAGACGGGCTGTGGAAAAATACTATGGGAAACATTGCCATAGCATCGAATTTGTAAAGGTCGATAGAAAGCAGACCCAGCCAATTCGGTTTTGAGCCCATATAGTCCCCTGCAGATAACGCCAGCGCACGGAAAATAGTCCTACGGTTGGTACATCCACTCGCTACGCTTGAAGACTATTTCAAACTCCACATTTTCGAACGTGCCCACCATGGCGTAGATGTCGTGAAACCCTTCCAGCCCCGTGACTGGCAAATCTTCCTGCGCATCGCCCTCCTCGTGCAAGTTCCAGCCCCCGTCCTTCCGTCCATTTCTCGTGAAAAAGACCTCGACATCAATGGGATTCGTCGACAGCGTGGTTGCAGGCGCAGAGTAGGAAGGTGGCGCATTCAGATCTCTCGCAGTGAAGATCATTCCCAAGCCCAGGGTATCGCCAGCTCTGAACGGCTGTGTAAAGTCCTTTCCGCCCCAGCGATCATTGATGAACTTGCTGCCATCGTCGCCGTGGACGGCCAGATTTCCTCTGTGCCAGCCTGGAAGCCTGAATGTGGGATACGGCGCTGCCCCGAAGCCCATGGCGAGACTGACTTCCCCCCTATTACGCGGGTTGATTCTGACTTCGTAGTATATCGACTTTGCGCGCCCTGTTCGCATGGGAGAATGCGCCATGACGGAGTAGAGGGGTACGGTAGAGGTAGTGCAAGAGTCCGGGGAATCTGGCTTCGTCTTGCCAGCCCAGACACCCGGCCTTGGTCGTTCGAGACTGCCCTTGTAGTCGCGCGGCCGAATGACACCAATATCGCCGCGGTCGATAGCTTCGAGTGCCGCCTGGGGAAAGGTGACCGGGCTCAGAATCGGGTTCTGCGTGCACCAGATCTCTCCCAGCTCTGCTTGCTCTTCGGTTGCGTTGTTGGTCGAGCTGCGCTGGTTGCCCATGGATGGTGGAGGCGGGAGGAGGGAGGTATCGGGAACGGCAGTCTGCCAGTCATGATAGGGTTCTTCGGGTGGTGGGGGCGGGCCAGGAGGCGGCGCATCGTAGGACTGCGGATGCGACTGCGAATGGCTCGGGGGAGGTCCTGGAGGAGGTTGGAAGTGCGATGGAGGAGGGCCAGGGGGGGCAGAGAACTGTTCTTGAGCTCGAGCTTGAGCTTGAGGTCGGGGTGGTGGCCCTGAGGGCGCTGGGTAGACTTCTGAACTCGGGTTCTGGTGATGGCCATGGTCATAGCCAGGCGGGGGGGCGGCGGGAGGTTGATAGGACATCGTGTTGGGTGGGGAGGAGGAGGTCGCCGTGGGTTTGGATTCCAGGAAGACTGGGCGTGAGTTGAGGTGGTCGCTGGATTTGTTGTTCAGTCGGGATGATGGATCTTCTTCACCTTTCAGCTTGCTACCGAAGCACATTCTAAGGAAGAAGAAGGAGAAGAAGGGGAGGAAGAGGAAGAGGAAGACGAAGAGGGAGACGAAGAGGAAGACGAAGAAAGCAGCTCAAAAACCAGAAAATGTCAAAGGAATGATGGAAGGACTACTTGGCCGTGAAATGTACGCTCACTGGTGATGCACTGCCGGTGATGTCAGCGGGGCTGGGGAAGTTCGGATAAACATTGAAGCGGAGCTACCAAGTAGTCGAGTCGGGCTTGTTGTCGATAGCCTGCTGACTAATGCCCAGCTAGTACCCATCGGGATGGTGCGGACGGTGATGTTTGGCGAGACTAACAACATATCCATCAGATAGAAGTATTCCATCTGTGTAACACATTTATACGTTCACCATGGACCATTCGAATACGAATTCAGATTCAAATTCACATTCACAGCCTAAATTCTTCGGATATCCCCAACCGGTACAGGGTCCACACACTCCGTACCAGAAGAAGGACGATGCCAATCCCGTCTTTCGAGGACCGCTGCTGGTCATCGGTGCGTGGATGTAAGTAGGCCGGCTCCTTCATGATACGGCAACACCCGTTCGTTCTATATATACAATAGACATATATCCACTACACCTCTGATCACTCCCAGTGTGTCCCGCCTCCCATTCATCCAAAACTTGCTCTGGGCCAATGCCGGCTTCAATTGTCTTCGCGGCTTGCCATATCTGAAGGATTACGCTCGACGATGGGATGTAAGTTGAAAGCGGTGTTTGAGCAACCCACCCTCACCCACTCCATATTCCTCTCTCAAATCACACGACTGATATCCAATTCGAACAGCCTACAGTCATTCCCATTGCATCGGGAGCGGAAGCGGGTGAAAATGTCACCAAGACCAAGAAACTGGACTCCAAATCATTCCCAGTCCCCCCCGAGCACCTCCCTGGCCGCTATCGTACAGTCGCAGAGTATCATGCCCTGTACCTCTCTGGCCAGCTCACTCCTCTTGCCGTGGTCGAGTCTCTTTTACCATTGATCCAACGGGGTATCGCCAATCCACCTCCCTCGCGTCATGCTACCGCTTTCACCTACTGTAATGTAGACGCGGTCCTTGAAGCTGCAAAAGCCTCGACTCTCCGGTACAAACAGGGAGCGCCGCTGGGAATTCTGGACGGCGTTCCCACCGGGATCAAGGATGACACCGACGTGGCGGGCTATGTGTCCACGTACGGCCGCGCAAGGAACGACGAGGTCTTTCCTACCGCCGAGAAATCTTCATGGCCTGTCCAAATGCTGCAAGATGCAGGAGCCATTGTTCTGGGGAAGCTCAATATGCATGAGATGGGAGCCGACACCACCAACAACAATCCCAACTGGGGAACTCCTCGAAACCCCCACAATGATCAGTACTACACCGGTGGCTCGTCAGGCGGTCCAGCGTATGCGGTCTCGGCGGGTCTGGTTCCCCTGGTCGTCGGCACTGATGGTGGCGGAAGCATCCGGATTCCCGCATCATTCTGTGGTGTCTACGGGCTGAAGCCGTCTCATAATCGCCTCCAAGACCTCGGAAGTACAACCACCGTCAACGGTCCCCTGGCAGCTACCATATCCGACCTTGAGATTGCCTACCGCACCATGGCCCAGCCCAACCCCTCGGATGCCACATGCTCACTCTTCCCCGAAGTACCTACTCTACCTCCATCCCGTCCCAGAGTCATCGGCATCTACAAGGAATGGTTCAATCGTGCTGAGCCTTCAGTGCTCAAACTCTGTAACGACGTGCTGGCGTACTACAAGGAGAAGCTCGGCTACCAAATCATCGACATCGCGATCCCCTACGCGCCCGAAGGCCAGATCGCCCACGCCTTCACTATCCTCTGCGAAATGGCAAATGTCGCCCGAGCCGCGCCTCCCAATCCGTCAAATTGGCTTCACGGCCTCAACGCGGCCAACCAGGTCCTCCTGGCTATCGCCGCACGCACACCAGCCGCAGATTACCTTCTCGCGCAACAACTGCGTAACATGCTGATGCAGCACCTCGCGTTCCTCTACCAGCAGCATCCGGGCCTGATCATCGTCACCCCCACCACGCCCATGCCCGGATGGCCCATTGCCGCCGAGGGAGATTTGAAGTACGGCATCACGGACGGGAACACGAGTATCCGTAACATGGAGTACGTGTGGCTCGCGAACTTCTGCGGAAATCCGGCCATTTCGTGTCCGGTGGGCTACGTCGAGCCGGTCCAGGGGGAGGGCCGTGTTCCCGTGGGCATCATGGCGATGGGGGAGTGGGGGGAAGAGTTGCAGCTGCTGGGGTGGGGGAGGGAGTGCGAGGCGTGGTTGAATGAGGCGTATCCGGGTGGGAGACAGAGGCCCGGCAATTGGGAGGATGTGCTCGTCCATGGGAAGGAGAAGATGGTATCGTGAGACGTCTGTACGTTTTCATCATCCAAAAAAATAAAAGGAATGTCAATGATCAAGTCGACGTATAAAGTATTGAGGACTTTTGATTCGCAGGGAAACCAAAAGTGAGAGAAGAGAATTGTATTCTGCTGTGCTGGCTAGTTATGCTGGCGGTGCATGATCGATCACATCGAAAGCGGTTATGGAAACGGCCATCATCGAAAGCAAAAGCCAAAATACTTGCACCAGAGCCAAAGTGCCGTGACGTTGTACGCCACGATGTGAGAAGCAAGTTGTCAGAAAGCGTTCGAACCCGTCCAGGACGACCCACCCCCGACTCCTCCATCCAAAACAACATCCCTCCAGTGAGGCTTCTAGAGCCGACGATACTCCTCACCATCCTCAACGTGGCATCAACATCCGCACCACCAAGACTACTCTGATCCTCGCTTTCGGGGTAGAAGAACGCCGCCACCGCAATCACCACGTACGCCGCGCAAAGCAGCGCACCTTCGAGAGGATTGCTGCGGCCGTCGCGAATCGGGAAGTTGGACGATGAGAGCTGATACGAAGAGACAGACGCTTTCAAACAGAGTGAAGTACAAGGACATTGACTGGCCCATTGCCCAGCCGAGGAGAGACGACGAAGGGTGTGACGAAGAGGGCTGAGTAAAGTTGACGGAATCGCCTCGACACGGGAAGTACCGGTAGCTGGTGCAGTTACCAATTGGGATACTCGAAGCAACCGCAACACCGATGGCCAGATTCATCTTATTCGCTTGTCCGCACCAACCAACTCGCATAGTCGGTCCAGCCAAGAGGACCTCGCTTATGTCACTGTAACTCTCGAGCTCCCTCTGGTAGGGAGTTCAACGTACTTGAATACAAATCAAGACTTTCACACTACGTGTAGCGTGCGACCATTCCTCGAGGGAGCCGGTAGACCTCGATCCAGGCGTGAGCAGCGGCAGTGATCTCTTTGTCGATAGGGTTCTGCACGCGCTGGAATGCCACACCCAATGTATCGACGTAGGCGTGCACCGTCTGGATGTTCAAGGCGCCCCGGGCCCGGGGATGAAGCCCGGTCCGGCTCTGGGCCATGTACTCCAAGAACATTCGAAGCAGCTTGGTGGTAACGACCGTTCCTCCTCTCTTGAAGTAGTTTGCAGCATCGTCTGGGGATAGCTTGATCGGCAGATCCTCGTTCGAGAGGAAATCTATGAAGGTTTGCTTCAGATTCGCGATCAAACTCTCCTGACTATCACTCAACTGCGGATACACCAACGCATCCCAATCTCGGGTGGGCGCGTCTATCCGTTCTTGCTCGGGCAGGGCGGCTTGCGTGGCCAGACACTTGGCCTAGAATTTATTGGCATTGGCTTTGCGTCGTCGCTCCCCTAGTGACTCCATGGCGGCCCTGGGGGGACCCGCGGACGGCGGCCGCGTCGACGACCCGAATCGGGGGGCCCGTTGACCGAGTGGTGGTCAGATCGCGCCGCCGGTGTAGCGGACTGCTCTCACGGTCAGTTCCGTCTTATCCGCTGTACGCAACATCAAGACGACGGGTACGTACGAGTATTCAGACCACAATGAGGGGTGCCGGTGAGACGGTGATAGTTAGAACGTGCATGCGGTATTGTTGAATTGATGAGAAATAGAAAAAGAAGAGGAAGCGGAGAGGATGGACGAAGGAAGAAGAAGATAGAATCAACGAAGGAAGAAGAGGCGGACGTGGTCTCGTCCGTTGCAAAAGGCTGGGCAGGCACGCCGCGCGGCAAGCGTCAACGGACAGAAGTCACGTTCGCGTTCGCGCGCGGTTACGGGGCGTTGACCCGCACGTGCTTGAGCAGAGCACTTCTTCTTATCATGCAAATCACGCCTTCAAGGGGTGAGTAAACTTGCCGCGAATAGTGCATCAGGAGAAACCACTGCTGCTACTTCAAAGTAACCTTTTTGGGGTTTTGCATTGTGCTCCGGTAAAGTCAAACAGAGTACCTTCAAAGTACACTCCAGCCACAATCTTCTCTCATACGCACTCACTCCTACCCAACCCTGCCTACCTAAGCACTCCTACCCAGCCCTGCCTACCTAAGCAAGCAGACTCCTGATCATCTTGCTCGTCGCGTCCGGATTGCCGCCCAGACTACTCTGGTGGTCGGCATTCGGGTAAAAGAAAGCAGCCACGGCAATGATGGCGTAGGCGGCCATAAGCAACACGCCTTCCAGGTAATTACTCCGCCCATCCAAGACGAGGAAATTCACGATAAAGGCCGCGGCGGCGAGCGAGACGGTCTCGAAAAGGCTGAAGTACAAACTCATGTCCTGGCCCATACACCAGCCCAGGAGAACGACGAAGGGGGTCACGAAGAGCGCTGGAAACATGGATCATTAGCGATCATGCATCATGATACCCGATGCACGGCCTCCACGGCAGTGGCCCGCGGAGCGTCATTGGGCGCTCCGCAGCCCCCTGCCGGGGCGGGCGTTGCACGTGGGGGATCGGGACGGACTGACCAATCTGGATGCTGCTCCCCACCGCGACGCCAATGGCTAGGTCCATCTTATTTCTCCGAAGGGCAACGGTCACCGCAGTGAAATGTTCGGCCGCGTTACTCACGATGGGCAGAATGATCAGACCGATAAAAGCCTCACCGACACCAGAGTTCGAAGCCACGACGTCATTGATGCTGTCCACCATGAACTCGGCGCAGACAGCGACGAGACCAGTCGAGATGAGGAGGAGAAACATGGCTGTCGTACGGGAGATGTTCTCGTCGGCCTCCCTCTTGGAGGCGCCGGCGAGACTAGAAACGCGGGTAGGGCTGATCCGAGTGTTGGGGGCTGCAACTCCAGAGACAGGCTGGTTAAGGCGGTCGGGGAGCGAGTTGGTGCGGCGGATGCCATAAAGAACTCGTGGAATAGGGCCAGCGTCAAGGTCTGAAGCGGGTGATGGCTGCGTGAAGACATTCTGGGAGAAAGTCTTGGGGATCTGGGGACGGATACTCGTGATGCTGCGGATGTTGAACGGACGCTTCTGGGAAGAGTCGGTTGGCTCACCCGGTCCCGAGGGCTCGGGCTTGACCACCGCAAAGTCGACGCGATGAGGTGCATCATTGCTCTCGGGGCCTTTTTCGGTCATAACGGCTCCTCCAGGGATGGTGTCGTCGCCATGTCGGCGAGCTCGCTTACGATCGTTCTTCTCCTGGCGCTTCCGTTCCTTTCTGACCTGCCGCCTCGACATGCGATCGACAACCGAGATCTTGCGGCTTCGTTGGTTATGTTCTTCATCGTCACCCTCTTCGCCAGCATCGATAGCACCAAGGCGGTGGCCGATGCGTGGCTCGTCGACGGCAGTCTCGGTGGCCAGTGACCCGTCGCCAAAAGAGGGGTTCCGGCTGAGGACGGTGCGCTCAGCAGTTTCCTTGGATCCGGAACTCGACTTGCGGCGCCGCCTACCTCCTCTCATGACACGCTTGAAGCGCTTGGCAGTAGTGTTCGAGCCGCTTGATCCATCAGAATCGGAGCTCGACGAAGAAGATGAGTCGTCCGAGGACGTTTCCATCCATTGCGCGACGGGGCCCGGGGCGGATTCCTCGTCGATGATGTGCTGTGGGGTACTCTCGTACATGTACGCATGGGACTTGAGTTGGAACAGTAGGTACAGGACGTAGACGAAGAGAAGGATCTGGATAGTTAGCTGAGGACTTCAGGGGTAGTGATGTACATACCACACTGGTACCACGACTGACTTGCAGGACCTTTCGCGTAGCATCGGCCTTCTTCTCTTCGCTGAACGACGCATGGAAAGCGGTCTGGTTGTTCATCAGTCGGGGTTGGCCCGCCCGGCGCATTGGAGTACGTACTGGAAGCAAGAGACTCATGACACTCAAACTGAGGAGACATGCGCTCATCTGCGTGACCGTGCTGTTGTAGATCTGGAACAGTCAGCCCGATCACACCCCGGCTGCCGAGAGCCAACGTACCTGCTCGCGAAAGCGTAGTCCACCGACCAGGAAACACATGCCTAGAATCAAGAGCAAATTGGCAAGAATCGAACCGAGTAAGGAAGCTTGGACGATACGGATTTCACCCTGCGTTGGATCAGCAAGATCCCAGGACGTAAGCGAGTCGCATCGACATACCTTGGCGAGGGCGATACTGTATCGTTGGGAAAACAAAAAGTGAGCATAGGTCTTGAGGGAAATCACAAACGGGGAGACACGTGGGGAACAAATGAAAGGCCGGATGATATGGGACGCGATTGATTTGATAATGCCTTTAAGAGGGCTTCTCGCTCTTTCTTGCCTTGATCTCTGTTGAGAGGGACATACATGCTAGAGAGAGAGGGCGTTAGCGAGATTCCATTCTCCTGGGTTGGCACAGACGCACAAGATGATGAGCTCGACGGCGTTACCAAACGTAACATTCATAAGTGCACCTATCGTGTCTCCCATCCTCTTGGCCACGCTCTCGGTAGCATGACTGAGGAGACCCGCCAGGGGAACGATGGCGATGGCATTCATCGCAAAGACGATGCCCGGGCTCAGGTTGGCCGCCTTTGCGGCAATACCGACGGGTACAACGACCAGCAGGAGATTGGCGTAGCTGGACAAGAGGATGAATTTACTGGTGAGCCAGAATCGCATGGCAACGTTCTTTTTCGTGGGCTTGATTTCTTGTTCATTGTTTACGACCAGCCCCGCGGCATCAACTTCCGGAAGTGAAGTGGGTGGTGGGCTATCGAGCGAGGCATTGGCTGTGGAGTTGATGATCGTCGGTTTCGACGACTGGCGGGCGAGGCCGTTGATGTCGCGCGATGGGAAGGGAGGGATGTTGGTGGTGTCATTCTGGAGGCCGGAGCTGACCTGGATCGCGGTGGTCGCAGGGGGATTGCTTATGGAGAGAGACTGCGTCGGCTGGTTCGTGTCTGGGGCGAGTGGCGAGGAGCCATGCGCTTTGGTTCGGGCCCAAGAGCGGATGCGTTCTGTATACGAGGGATTCGATGAAGCCTTCTTCATCGAAGGAGGCCCGGTCGTCGCCAGCGTGGAGGTTCGGAGGGGAGGTAGGGGAGGATTGGTGTGTGTGAGTTGTAGATGGTGGAGGTTGGAGGTTGAAGGATGAAGTTAGCGAAAGGGAACAGAAAGAGAGGAGAAGTAGAGCAGAAGTACGAAGGGGGGTCGTTGGATTAAGTAATACGGAAGGGCAGCAACAGGAGATCAGCAGCTAGCGGGATGGGGGTGGGACTGACTGGCACTGGAACTGGGACCAGACTCAAAGAAGTCAAGGCAAGGCGGGGCAAATTCTGGCGGGGGGAGGGGCGTCGATCGACGCCTTTGATTCGCAGATGATGCAATGACGGTGGGACCATAGACCCACTGGGTAGGGATAGGGGATCCACTCCTGATCAACCCAGGCTGAGCTCGTACGGAAGGTGGCCGTCAACAGTCAACAGTCAACCGTCAAGCGTCAACAGTCACTCATCATTCATCTTCTCCCGTATCCGAGTCGAGCATGCGGCGGTGAGATGTCATGGCGGTCGAGAGGCAGAATCTAGCGTGTGTCGATGTCTAGATATCTAGATATCCAGATGTCTACCGGTAGATCTCCAGATCTCTAGCATACTACGTATATTAAGTACAGTAACAAGGCTTTTCGCTTGTCTGCTCACGATGTTGATGCCTGTACGGTAATGCTTGTGATGCTTGTGATGCTCGTGCCAGCTTCTTATCGTGATTGGCGCCCAGAGCTCGGAGCCGACAGCGCGCAGCCATTGGCCAGGGGCCCAGTGGGCAATGGACGCGGCAAGGTCGATGCTCGGGCCTCAAGGCTTGTTTGTGGAGACACGGGCATCGATCCAGTCCAGAAGGGACAGGAGGGGAAGGCAGCGCGTAGATCCAGTACCGGTAGTAGTACGGTAGATACCCAAGAAACATTCAAAGAAGTCAGTCGCGATGCTGCTGCTTTAAACTCCCTGAATGCCAAGACTCGCTCTACAGTACGGAGGACGGAGAACGGAGGACGGAGAACGGAGCACGGAATACCGCGGCTACTTACTGGTACTATCGCCTCGCCCGCTTACGTCACTGTCAACACATGTTCTTTCATCTTTTGTTAGCAGTACTTCAAGTAAATTTCCTTCATCGCCCTTTCCACCCCCGCGTCTTCCGAATACCGCACAGCCACATACCACCTACCCCGCTGACCTCGGCACCATCAACTTCTTTGCTTCCCGTGGCGCAGCTGCGCAGATGGTGGCGGGTGGCGGGTGGCTGGTGGCTGGTGGGCCCGCCATATCGCCATCGATCTAATTCATGGCTCCTCCTATCAAAGCGAGGCCAGTCGCAGAGAAAGCAAAGCAAAGCAGAGCAGAGCAACGCGAAGCAAAGCTACCAAGTAATATCAAATACATATACACCGGAAAAATAAAGCATTAGAAGTCCGACAGCTTATGGCCTTTACCGACACCAATCAACAAACAGCTCGCATCCATCGAAATCGAATCCGGCGTCGTTACCACTCACTCGCTTACTACGTCGCAGGCGTAAGTATTACCCCTCGAGGGTAGGGAAAACAGGGGTTTTAAAGTGGAAACTAAACTTTTAAGGCACCCTCGAGGGGTAATACTTAGGCCTGTACCGTGGTACTTACAGATTACCATCAGGCTTCGGGTAAATCAATACCGAGGTAAACAAGACAAAACAAGAACACGGTTGGTTCACTATCCCCACACGTCAGTCCGGCGATGCGCACTCCAGAGTAGCAGCAGCAGAATCTATATCTTCTGCCGGATCATGACTTCCCCAATCTTATTTCCAAATTCCAATAGGATTGATGGCTTCTTCGGAGTCCTCAGACAGCGAGATCATACACATGACTTTAGCTGACACTTTGTGAAAGAGTCGGAGCTGATCCAGATCCCGAGGCCCGAAAAGAAGCATCTGCTAGATGCAACAGGTGCGATCGTATCCTGCGTCCTGGTAATACTTCAAGTGTGCTGCGAGTTGAGGAAGGTCTGGCGGCTGGGACGTGGCTTGGCTCAGGTATGTACCTACCGGTAAGTCGACGGATGCATTCTTGAGTGGGTGAGGTAGTGAGGTAGGTAAGGTAGGTAGGTAGTAAGCGATCGCGCCTCGACTCAATGTGGATGGCAGTATATGGTATACGGTATATATTGTCGGCGCAGATCCCGTTGCCGATACCGATCGAGATATCAAAGATCCCGGGTCGGATAATGTTCAGAGACGCTCTACCTTCCCCATCCCCATCCCCATCCCCATCCCCATCCGGCGCATCCTGACGGTTGGGGATGCGGGGTATGCATGCACATGTATACATACAGAAATATGACGCAAATACATAATATGTCATCGCTCGATCGATAAGTAAATAAATAAATATTTCGATGAACCGCATCTCACGAGACGGAATACTCCAAATCCACTTGCTTGCTTCAGCTTCCGCGACATTCCAAAATGTGGCCACAGGACCTCGATGCTCTGGTGGTCGGCGCGGGCTTCGGCGGCATTTACCAGCTCAAGAAGCTGCTCGACCAAGGCCTGAACGTCAAGGCCATAGACAAGGCAGGCGATGTCGGCGGGACGTGGTACTGGAATCGCTACCCGGGAGCCATGTCGGAGTACGTACGAATTCGGGGCCTCTCTCTCTCTCTCGATGTATATGTATATATATATATATATATATATATATATATATATATATATATA